GCAGCCCCAGTCACTCTCCCAGACCTGGGGAGCATCCAGGGCAGGTTCAGCCTCTCCTCCCTTCCCAAAGTGCAGCTGCCCAGAGCCTCTGCAGGAGGTTCAATCAGCAAGGCAGCCTTTGCTACCCAGCTTGCCTAAGGAAACACAAAGAACAGTATCTGCCCAGAAGCCTGTAGGAGGGCAGCTCTCCATTGCTGGCAGAGAGAAAAGGACAACACAGAATTACAACATTTCAGTTGACTGAAATATTTTAATTCTCTTTCAGAGCAGCTTAAGCCACTTTCAGCTTTTCAGCTGTTGGCAGTTTGGATTTTAAAAAACTGCCAACAGTTTTGAAACTGTTTGTTGAGTCCTTAGTTTTTATCTTCTTTCCACATCACTCTGCAGGACTAACCCAGAGTTAGTGCAGATGCAAAAATCTTTAAATGTCCTAAAACCTTACACTAAGCAGACAAAGAGTTCCAGTGAAGGGCAGTCTGAATTTTTTGTTCTCTCCTTTTGGTGCTGTGTGATTTGTTCTGACAGCACAAGTTTGTCTACAGTTGAGATGATTCCCAAAGCTTCGGTTCTGAAATGACAATCTCCAAAATGAAACATTAGATCTAAGTTATTGCCTCTCCCCAAAATACTTTAATGCCTATTGATTGCCTCCCATTTTCTCAGTTAAACATTCCTTAAACACACTGCTGGAAGTGTCTTTTTTTTCATTAGACCAGCAGCCTGGATTTCCCATTCCAGCTGATCTCTGAGAAAACAAAATTGGAAGCAAAGTATTTAAAGGCCAGCCTATTTAATTTCATTTCCCCCTGTTCTTTGTTAAAAGAAGACAAGTTGCTGCACTTCCTTTTGTCTGCAAGAAACTTCTGGAGGATAGTCAGCATTTGGGCAAGATTGGTCTGTCTCTGTATTTCTTTTGGAGCAGGAGCCAGAGTTCTTGTTATTGAAATCTGAAATAAAGGCAATATGCACTCCAAGACTGCCTCTTAAAACCTAAGTAATCTTTCATCTTAGGATGAAAGATCAGTTGCTCTATTAAGAAAAACTTTTTGCTGCCACAAGATTAACAAAATTTGCAGGGTCCCCAAAAGACTTTCACCTGTGTTAAAAAAAATCACCTCCAGCAGATGATTCATAAGGAAGAAAATTAGAAGACGTCATGCTCTTCCATGACTTTGCAGGCAGCAAGAAGAACAAGAAATATCAGCTTCCCAAAGCACTAGAGAAGCCTGATTAAAATTATTCATGATATAATAAGCTGTAGTGACTGATCTGATGGCAACTGTAATTACCCACGTTCTTTCCAGACAGGATGAATCCTACAGTCTGAAACCCTTCTCATCTTCCCTTCCCTTACATCACCTTTTTAGGCCATAAAACTTTGGTGAAAGACAAGATTCTAGACAAGATTCATTAGTAGATGAACATCTTTTTTATGGGATGGGAAACCCAATTTTAAGGCAGGCCCATGTCGTGTTCCTGCAGAACAAAGTGCTCATGGCTGGGGTTGAATCTGGATCTGAATGCATGTTGTAATTCCATGATGGACATTGTTCCCTTACACAGAACGAGTTTTACTGTGCTCCCTACTTCTCATATTCCTGTGGTCAAAGGCTTTAGATCTAAATTTCCTGGCTGCTGTATGTATAGAGGAAATAAATAAGATGGGATTCAATTATCATGGGATTCATTCATTAGCACCTACTACCCCCTCTCTTCTCCTTCATACTGGTTTTAACAAGTGGTAACAGATAATCCACTGCCTCACAGGCTAATGCAACACTGGAATAATCCAGACATCCAACTGGACTGCAATCTCCAATCTCCAGAGAGGCAGCTTTGCCACCCTACCCAAAGAGCTGCAATTACTGACAGTCTCCACTGCAGGAGAGGAGGAATCTTAAACCAACATTATTTAGAAACTTGTCAAGTGCCTTCTCTTTTGGACAAGCTGGCAAAGAGAGCAGTACAATTTTGTTTCTGACAAATCATTATCTACATTTGGGGATAAGTCTATCCTCTAAACAAGCAAATCCATTGTTTTCCTGTTTAACCAGCAGGATATAAAAATAAAAATCTGACAAACACACGCAAGAGAAACAAAGAGAAATGACAGCCCCGTGTGATAAAAGCCAAAGTTCTTCAAGATCCTGCCTGTGAAAGTGCACATTATATAAAGCACTGCTGATTAATTGGAGGGATGACAGGTACATCCACAGAGATGGAAAGTTTTGCACTTCTGACTCCCAGCTGTGATATTTTAACAGGGAGAAGGCATTTGCTACTTTGCTGAGAGAACAGTGTTGATACAGTAAAACATAATTTTCAACTTTAGGAAAGTCCTGAGAGCAAGAAGTCCTGAAGCATTTTAAAGTGAGAACAGGCATATGCAGTTAATTCATTCAGAGATGAGTAAACACAGGCACATATTACTATCTTCTATTTCTAGGCTGCATTTTTACAGTTTCAGTTTGAAAGCTCCAGTCTAGAGTACAAAATTAAATGTGTTTCAAAGGGCCAAAACTTCAAGAGGTTTCTTGGCATCTAAGAATGCAAACAAGTCCCAAGACAGATCTTGTTCTGTGCCCCTTTACATGGAAAGAATTAAACCCTCCTGAAAATTCCTAAGGAAAGCAGTTGCTTGTAGCTCCTCAAGCACCTATTTCCAGTGCTCTTCACATCTAAGAGGCCCAGAGCCACACCAAGATCATGAAACTCAAACTAACCTTCCCTATCTAAAACTGCTTTAAAAAAAATTAAAAATCTTCCCCTGTATCAGTACAAATACCTGATGGGAAACAGTGGCTCTGAATTTTCCCCATTTCAGTGAATCCCTGGGATTTTCCAGCACCCAAAATGTATTAATTGTTTCAACAAAAAGCCTCACCACTGATAAAAGATCTCAAAGCGTTGTTTTAGCAATGAAAGCTGCACAGAGCTCACCTGCTGTAAATGAAGCAGCCCATGTGGTTGATCTCTTTGTCTAATTTGTACCTCCGAAAGTCCTCCCAAGCGTCTTTGATGGCCGTGATGGCCATAATGACACAGATGGGGATGAGGGACACCTCTGGCTGGAAAGCATTCACCACTGGCACAAAATTCAGCAGTGCAATGAACACAAAGTAGATGTTGGCAAAGCGGTGAAACTGCTCGTAGATGTTTTTAGGGAGGAAAGTCAGGATGGTATATTTTGTGGTCTTAATTTTATTGGAGTCATAGTGTCTGTTTGGATTTTCCTTCCACTTCTTACTTCCAAAGGGCAAATTGGAGATGATCACTCGTTTGTTTTCATTCTTCTTCTTTCTTTTCTTTACTTTTCCTCTCTTCTCCAGCTCCTCATTTTGGGTTTCAGTGTCTGAGGAGCCACAGTGGCAGCAGGTTTCCTTGAAGAAATGTTTCTTCCATACCATTCTAGAGAAGCAGCCTGGAACAATCCTCCTTGACATCTTGTTTTCCTCTCAAAAAGTAGCTTCGAGTTGAAATCCAACAAAGTCAGAAGAGTTCAGTAATCCAAAGGAACTGCCAAAGGAACGGTGGAGGGAAGAGCTGAGGTGTCCCAAGCCCAGAGCTGCCTCTCCTGCTGCAGCCTCCACCTCCCCGGGGCCGGGGATCACCCTGACTCAGCTGCACAGGTCCCAGAGCCTGCTGGGGAGGCTGCACCTCACCTGGGGCACAAGCATCTGGAATGTTTGGTTATTCCTGTTGGGGAACACTGGCAAGCTCAGAGCATTTCCCTGGCACTGCCTCGCTGCTCACACAGTCTCTGCTCCGACCTGAGTAGTGCCAGAGCACAGGACACACACACCACTGTCTCAGCTCACTCCAGGAGGTTCAGGATCACTTTATGGCCCTGGGAGTTGCCAGGAAGCTCAAAGGTAATGGGTTGAGCTGCACGTCCCAGATGTCAACAAAAGATTGCCCCAAGCCTCAGTTCAGACACCATTTCTCTTCTACTTCCTCTATCTACTATTTGGTTTCACGATCATAACATGGATGATTAAACAACCAACAACTCCCACCCCCCAAACCAAGTAAACCTCTGATTTGGCAGTTTTGGGGGTTGTACATAGACATGGGCAAGTGAAGGGCAGCGTAGCTGGATTGCCCCTCAGACCAATCCTTCTCCTCTGATAGACCCCAAACCTCCCTCTCTTATCCACTCACTCCTTCCAGTCTCTCATTTCTTCCCCCTCTTTGGTCCCCATGCCTCTGACACATAAATATTCATTTCCAGGAGAGCTAATGACGTGTATGCAAAGCAGAGTAATTTTTTCTCTGTAGCCTGATCTTAAGGGGAGGTGAAAAAAGGAAGAGACCTAAATATTTAAACTTCTAAATGCAAACTCTTATCTACTGCATTATATAGTGACAAGCTGAGCAGTCTCAAGTCAAGTTGGTGCTTGGACAAGAAACTCTGATGAAATGGAAATGTTGCAACAACAATTACACATGAAGTTATTTCTTCCCTCTGAGTCACTACTGAGCAAACAGCTCCCTGCAGGTGTTGTACCATCCCAAAGCCAGGCCTGTATTGATCCCTCTGCTTACTGGAAGACCTAGAAATTATTTTTCAGTTCCCCATCATGATTCACCTTGAATGTTGTTGATCACTAGTTTTTTATTAATGGGTACAGTGTGACACATCTTACATTTTTTTAAACAGCCCCAGTTATCCTTTCCAAACTTGGATAAGTTTCATCTTTCCTCCAGATCCTTCTGCTCCCTGGAGAGGATGTTGTGTGAGTTGGCAAGCTGGTTTGAAAACTTGGAATGGAAACCTGTCTATCAGCACACACTGCTGGGATATGTAAGAAAGCTCCAGTGATACTGAGATGATTTCAGTGAGATAAGTAAGGCATTTTAAAGGTAGAACAAATTCTTTTCCAAGAGCTTTTCCAAATTTACAGTGCTCCAAAGGGTCAATGAGGGGATTACTGCCCAACCAGATGAACAGTTTCCACCACAACAAATGCAAGGGGGAAGAATTGGTTTCATTTACTTACTTGTCATACACCCTGGTCTTCGAGGAGTTTATTGCCTTGTCATATTGGTGTTTTCTGTAGTCCTCAATAGCATCCTTAATCATGCTGGCAAGCAGCACCACAACCAGAGGCAGCAGAGTAACCTCCCTGTGGAAGACTTCCACTTGTGGGAACCAGCTCAGAACCATCAGAAAGAAGAAGTAAAGATTGCCCAGCCTGAAAAAGTAGAAAATAAATTAAAAGTAGTCAGAAATTAGAATGTGTCTTTTCCTTAATGAACAACACCCATTTTGTGCCAAAGGAACATTAATCATTCCACTCTTATGTCCTCTTTTTCCTTTCTCCAGAATGAATTAATCAGTTGCTTAACCAAGTTGTTAATTATTTCTTTAGAGGAGCCTGTGAGCTGCACTTTGATACTATGATGGCTAAGTCCCTTTCCCCACATATTACAGACACTGTTTACCTCCAGGAGCTCCAAGGTCTTTAATGACCCCCCACTGCCTCAGTCTTATAAATAAGCACAAAATCAAACAGAAGCCAAAGAAACCTTAAAACCCCAAACCAATGAATGAAATGTCCCAGTCAGGAATCCACGAAGGATTCCACAAGTGGAAGGTCAAATCATGAATGTGTACATCTAATACACAGAATGGAAATTTCAAGGCTAGAGATGAATATACAATTTTCATTTCTCTCTATCATAATGATATCTCCCTGGGCATCTTTTTGACATGATTAATTATGCTGAGGGGGCACATAATTTGAAACCAGCACTTGGACAGAAACCTGATCTGCACTTGCACATAGATTTATACTCTTTCAAAGTTGGTAGACAGTTCATGACATTAAAAAGATATCAAAATTGAGCTGCTGAAATCCATAGAATTTTCTCAACACATCCAATGAATCCTTTCTGCGTTCTTTAAAACCAAGAGTTTATGAAAACAGAGGGATTTTTAAATTTCTACTAAGAAAACTGTTCCAGCATTCAAACAAAGCTGATGGCAGCAGTGTCAGACACTCCCAGTGCTGATTGCTTCAATCCTCCATTTCAGTGTGAACTGAGTGACATTTGCCCACAAATAATCATCACCTAAGTTTTAGTACTGTCACCACTACACATGGCCCTTGTCCATTACTCTCAAATATCACTGTTTCAGAGAGAGTCCTAAAATCTCGTGGAGCACTGAATGATTTCTTTTTACCTGAGAAACTGTTCGAAAAGATTTTGGGGCAAAAAAGTGAGCCATGTGTACTTTGTGGTCTGTATCCTGTTTCCAGAATGAAAGGTAGAAGCTTGTTTCCAGTCTTTCCACTGTCTCTCACTGCCAGGAAACACAATCCTCCATTTGTCTGGGTTGAGTTCTGGTTTGTCTCTGACAGAAAACAGCAGTGGTGTGGATTCCAGGGAGGGCCGAGGAGCTCCCAGTCGCTGCCAGCGGCACCAAGCCGAGTCCACAGACAAAGCCATCCCCAGCAGGGGGGTCAGGCTGCAAGACAAAGGCATGACAGGCACTGACAACCACTTCCATTCTGGTAGGAAATTCACTTTGTGTCTGTGAGCAGAGGTTTAACACCACAAACAACCCTCCTACTCAGTGCATTGCATGCTCAGCCTCCCACCTCGGAATTTTGCAGAGAATGCACAGAATAAAAGATACAACAAAATCTTCAATATGGAAAACTCTATTTCTATCTCTGGGGGAAAAATAATCCCAAACTAACGTGGATAAGGTCGATTTATCACAGGGGAACAATGGTTTTTCCATCACGAACTCTGTATCATTTTTTTCGGTCATAAAGTGCCATCAAATCTACTCAGGCATTTTTCTTCAAATGTCTGACTTTCATACAATACCCTTTCCTGTTCATTCTTACTTAAAAGGGGACTGGTTCAGGTGTTGAATATTAATAGCTCAGACAATAAAGAACTGCAGCATCATCTAATTTCATTTACACTCACGTAAGGTTTTTCCAGAGTCTCCAAAGGAACCTGGTTTGAATGGAAAATGCCAGTGCTGAGTGCAGCCCAACAGCAGCTCAGCACTGTCAGACTTGGAAACCAAGGGGGACAAAAAGCAGCCTTTATGTCCTTAAAGCCACAAAAGCTGGTAAGAGGGAGGCAGCCTGGAGAAATTATTCAGGCAAGTCACACAGAGGAATATCCCAGACCATTTCCCCTCTGCTGCTTTATAATCACTGTTGGTGTCTCATTGTCCAGTCTTCTGTGAAGGTTCTGTTTCAAGAACCTCTTTGCCCTCTTTCTTTCCATTCTGTTCCTGATGGATGGACTGGGAGCAGTTTCCAACAGGGCAGACACAGTTTTCCCAGCTGGTTTTCTAGGGAGAAAACATCAGTGCAATCCAGCCTAGGACAAGTCCTCTCCCTCCTTGGGTAGATGTCCCTCAAAGTCTCCACACCCACAGAGGTATATTCATTATATAAAATTATAATGGATATTTACCTATTTTATTCTTCCTTTTAGGAGAAGTGCTCCTTCCCACAGTCCCAATTTGTGTCACTCTACTCTGACTGTCCAGTGGAGTTACTGCAGTGTCAAGAGATGGCCAAAATGTTAAAGGTGTCTTGGAGTCTCAATTCCTGAACCTCTGCATTTGGAATAAACAAGACAAGAAACATACAAATGATTAAACCAGAAGTGATTAAACAGTTTTGTACTGGTAGTCTGGAAAAGCTCCCGTTTATGACAAGCCATTGACTCCCCTGCCTCCTGTGGGGATTTTGCACAGCAATGTATTCACTGCAATCAGAGCTGTTAACTCTTCCCTCTAAAACCAGAGGCCACCATTTGTGTTTGGAAAGCTTCTTTTATTTCCTTCTTCCTGCATTTAATCAGTGGATGAAACTGTCCCCACTGATAAGATTTGAGCTCTGTGCCTGCCCTAAACATCAGTCAGGGCACTGCTGGTTTAACCTGCACTCTGACAAGCTTTCACAGCAAGGCCTTGCCTGTATCCATAACATGGAGTATCCAGGGCACGTGAACACATTTGGAAACTGGAGAGAAATGGGATAAAGATTTATTGCTTTTGTTGGGAGTGGAGCTGAAAGGCACAGTGGGTCTGCAGACAGAAGGAATCACGGCAAGCCCTTCCCAGGTGTGGATTTGAACGTGTTCAGATGGTTCTGCTTATCACACACAAACTACCTCATACTCCTCTGTCTCCAACCTTCTCTGGCAGGCTTATGCTTCTTTTAAAATTATTTTATATATGTCATACTATACTGGGAACTTGGCATTCTTATACAAGTTGTGAACTTTCTTGTTAACAAGTAAGAAATCAGAGGGAAGTTTGCACTATAAACACCAGCATGCAGTTGCTAGAATTTGGCATTTTTATCCCCAAATGCTTTGAGTTTATCTTCCATTTGCAGGTACTGCAATTGCAAGCCAGCAAAAGTATTTGGGAAATACTTTTTGAAAAAGGGATGTTACAACAGACCACTGATGGTAAGAGTTTGCCTCTTGCATCCTTGTGTTGATCTTGCAAAGAGCCTGTCTCAGTTTTTCATTGTCTGATTGGCATCCTCCCTCTGGATACTTCATCTCCTCCAATCCTAAAAGAAACTTCCCCCTTCTGTGGCAGAAGCAGAACTGCATTGGAGAGCTGTGCTGATGCTGTCAACAAGGAAGGACTGGTCCTGACACAAACTTCCCAAGTATTCAAGTGCTATCTGTCTTTTGAAGACTCTTATACAAGAAGGTATTGCTGACCATAAGAGAACCCTCATCAGAAGGCAGCAATAAGAAAACAATTTTCTCTTTGTTGAACTTACCTCATTCCTGCCAAACAAGAGGCTCAGCTGCAGATCTCTGCATCCCACACTGAGAGGCTGGAGAGAGGAATCCTGTCTCTCCTGTGTGTGCACAGAGGTTTTTACACATGTTTTAACAATCATGTTTTTACAATCATGTTTTTACACAATCCTATGCTGTTTATTAAAGGGCACGATAGACCCACATTAAAAGAAAGCCAGTCCTGCTCATAGGCATATGCAAAACCAGCTTCAGAAGGCAGCAAGACAAAGCAGTCACTTCCAGAGCTATCCCAGAAAGACAAGGTCTGTATCTCATTTTCAAAAGCTGGTTGGGTATTTCTGAACTTCAGGGCAAAATTTCAGACAGGGTGTAGCTTGTTTTTGAAAATCAGGACTATGAGAATAGAATCAGCACTAAGATGCAGATATGTGCATCATCAGGAACTGCAACTAAGTAAAGCTGATGTTTTCACTTCTACATCTTCACTTCTAAGGCAAGAAGATATATAATAACATAAGTTCCCTCTAAAATCTTATTCCATTTTTCCAAAACTTTTAGTTTTATCTCCTACTTGAAAGCAGCAGTGATTTTTCTTCTTGATGCTTATATGCATGATGTGGCATACACTCAAAAGAGCCTTTCCAGGGAAGGTTTGGCCACGGAGATAAACAGTACCAAGCGAGCTGAGTATTATAGACATTTCAGCCACAAACTTCTTTATCTGCTTTGCAATTACCTACTAGAAACGGCTTTCATTTTTTAGTGATGCTATATAGAAACTCTTCCTCAGTCACAGTTCAGAGAAAATATTTTGTGGTTAAGACTCCCAGAAAAAGGAATGGAGACTGGGAAGAATGAGGAAGGCAATTACATTGATTAGCAGGATACAAACCACAGCCTAAAATTATCCTTTAGCATTTCGTATTAGATATATCTTTGCAGTATGAAAGAATATTGCCACAATTAAAGAAGAGCTCCAAAAATCTGCTTCATTCAAAAAAACCCTGGTCAATGCAGACTGTTGTCATTCAACTAACAAGAGAAATGTAATATGGATTAACAGTTATAGAATGGGTTTGAGTGCAAGTCTGTGTTTGTGAGGGATACACAGAAAAGAGTTCTGATAAATCTGGTGTGTCATTAGAGCACAGGGCTTCACTCTGCTGCTGCAGAATTACACTGACACGTTTTTCATGTCTTGGCTAGATTCTCTCTCCTCTGGAAACAAGCTCCAAAATCTTGCAATAATAGGTTAATTAGAAGACTCTTTGCTGAGGAAAGAGCAGATTTCAGTGCCTGATGCAGAACCTTCCTGGAGCTCGAGCATGTTCAGGCACAACACTCCTCCCCGGGGCTGCAGCTGTGTTATTAGGACTGGTGTTAAAATAGATGTGCTCTCAGCATATGCTGACACACAGGTCATGCAGACAAGGATGATTATCAGATATTATTCAAGAAGGAAGTTTCCAGTTTGCAAACAGTCATGCTGGTTTAAACTTTCTTCTGTGAATAAGGAGCTTGCTCTGATGTCCCACATTATGTGCTCACTTAAATAGAGAGTTAGACTGAAATTCTCTGGCCATGTGCAAGGAGCATCACTGCTGCCAGCACTCCCAGCACTGTGGGGACCTGCTGGTGTTCCATTTGGGCCCCTGTATGTCAAGTAAGTTTCAAATAGGGTTGAGAAAATTCCTTCTTTAAGGATTTTAAAAGCATTAAAGGATTGTGGGCCCAGTTACCAATTTTCTTGTTGGGCCCTGAACAATCTAAAACCCCCATTGGAGTGACAGAGTGTAATAAACCCTCCAAAACATAAATGAAGTGTGACTGCAGTAACTCAGTAACTTCCAGGGCAGACCCCACCCAGGTGGCCTCACAAAGCCCTGGCTGAGCCATCTCCACCCAGATGTTGGGAAAGGGGAAGCACAGAGAGACAGGGATGGCAGAGAGGGGAGGCAAGGCAGCCCTGGGGAAAGGCAAAGGGAGGCAAACTGGAGACCCACCGGACTGGAAACTCATTTAATCAGCAAAGATTTACTTGCTAGGCTGAAACGCATCCAGCCCAGTGTCTGTGTCTGGGTGGGGCTTTGTGCACAGCTGTCTCTTGTTTTTCTGAATAGAACACACCAGAAACATTCTCACTGCTGCAGGTTGGGGAAGCACTCCCTCGTGCTCTCATCTGGCTATTCAGAAGTCTTTTTTTGCTACTGTAAAGAGACTAATATTTGTTTCAATCCAATGCATGCCTCTATCTCCAGCTCTCTGAGTGCTCCTGCACACTACTTAATTAGAAGACCATGTATTTCAAATTCCAGCAATGGCAGAATTTAGTTACATTTTAGCCCAGAAATGAGGACACCAAAATTAGAGCAATTGTCTGAACAATAATTTTTTTTTGTTTGTTCCACTTAATATTCAAAATCAAAGTGAAGTGGCCTTTAAAAGACAATCTAATATTTATAGAGTGTATGATTATAAAGCACTTAAAATCAAAATTACGTTGCAGATGTTCATGTGGGAACTCAGCAATGCTGAAAAATTCCAAAAGGAAGCAGAAAAATTGAAAATAAACTGGAAAGTGACCAGAAGATCCTTTATATGTAAAAACCTTTTATGCAACTATATTTTTGTCAGAATGTGCTGACTCTAATTTCAGTTCTCCAAATCTGAATATTAAAGTGCCTCAAAGAGAATAGTTACTTATTTATGTGAATGGAAAGAAAAAAGAGAGTGGCTAAAAAGGTTGCCAATTCACCAGGGCACAGCTCCACGTCAGTCGAGGATCCAGGGAAAGCTCCATCAGGATCTAATCACAAGAACTGCTGAGGGAACGTCCAGTAACACCTGGGCTGGGGAACCAGCACAAGCTTGTTCTGCTTCTGCCCAGAGCAATTACTGTCAGACAGTTCTGAAAGAATGATGTGAAAATCCCCTCAGTCCAGAAACTCATTCCTGGCAGTGCTGGACCACGAGGAGAACACCAGACCTGAGAGGACCACGTGAACTGCTGGAGGATGGACACAGCTTAAGATGCAGGAAGCTGATCTGCCCTTCCTGCTCACAGGTTTCCTTGGCCTTGAAGACCACCACAACTAAAAGAATCTGAGCACAAAATGCATAATAATAACATGTACTTGTGAAGTGCTCCTTGCAAGCATTAATTCCTTTTTAAAAACAGGAGCAAGATTCCCTTCAACCCTATCTCTCTGGGTTTTTTTAAGCCTATACTGTATTCCTCCATAGACAAGGTAACTGGGGTGCACATATTTGCATTTAAATGACCTAGATAGATAAGATAATGCAACAGAAACTATTTTATAATGCCACAAAACACATAATACAAGAGAGACCTGCAGCCAAGTCTTGCCAACAAATCCTGAAGCATTTCCACTGGTCCCAGAGTGTGTGAAAGAGTTTCTCTACTCCTGCTTCCCAGGGTGGTGTTCCTGTCAGAGCAGCCTACTGGAGTGTTACTAGAGTGACTGCAAGCTGACGTTTTTGCTTTTAAAAGCACCTGATTGTAAATTTATGTCTTCACACTGAAGTTGATTACAACCTGCTGGTACTGGGGCACTTGAGTCAGTCATCTCCAGCTATTAACTGAGCTGGGCTGGGCTCTAACCCTGAAGTGGATGATGGAAACTGTAATTGTTTAACAGCTCTGCTTTCAGCAGGCAATATTATGAGCCTGGGAAGTTGTCAGTCTAACTTCCTGGAATTTCACTCATTTGTTAGTTATCTTATGTAAGCCCAGCTGACCTGCTGGAAACAATGGAGCTTCCTTTAAATTCAGAGACAGATTCAAACCCTTCAATTGTGT